GGAGAGGAGGAGAGGGCGGAAGTAAGAGAGAGAGAGAGAGAGAGGATTCGAACGAGGGTGGGAGGAAGGGGCTGGAATGCCCCAGCGAAGAAGAGTAGAGAGAACCATGAGAGTAAGCCGCTTATCAGGGTGGCAGCAGGCAGTATAGGTCCAACCAACGCAGATAGGTGGGTTTCCATGGAAACACGGATCTGTCCGTTAGGTCCCTACGTACCCGCGTCCAGCCGCCTATCCGTTGTAGGCGTATCCGCTACAACGAAAAGCCGTGGAACGAACGAGCGAGAGGTACGAGCGAGCCGTGAGTGTCGTCCCTCTGTCTCTGTGTTACGCGCGAAAGAGGCGATCGGAAGAGAAGGCTGGGATAGAAACAAGGCTCGTGGCTTGCTGCAAAATGAGAGAGAGAGAGAGAGAGAGAGAGAGGAATCGAATCGCGTGGAAACCTTTTTGCATTTTTATCGCTCGTGTGCAGAGATCGTGTGGAGAGATGGTGGAATCGCGAGCCGAAACAGGACGATTCCTCCTCCTCGGTTAAAAATAAGTAAGAACGAAAGAAGCAGAAGTTTTCGAACAATTTTACCTGTCCCTTTCGTATCGACTTCTTAGTCGAGTCACTAAGTTTTTCTCGATTATACGTACATCGAATCGGTTATGATTGGGCTACGATTGATATTTGATTTTGAGAAAAAAGATATATAATATAGAATATACAATATATAATATAGAATGTCGATTGTCGCGGTTATTTATCTACGCGATATAAATTCAAAGATAATATAAATGTATATACGTAAAATCGATCGGTTTGCTACGAGTAAACTACAAGTCGAATCTTGATCTTAAGATCGTTATTAGAGCATGAACGATAAAATCATTGATATTTGCGAATAAAGAAAAAAAGGGACTCGTTAATGGTCTACATAAGTCGGCGACATAATTTGCACAAAGTTCAGATGATTTCGAAACTAGATGTATTATGCTGGATAAATTAATTTCATAATCGATTCGTGTTTTTTCACAAAGTTCAATAAACTGTCTCTGACTCTAACTTCGAACTTCGTTCAACTTGCAAGAATATCCAAGAATTTCAACGATTTCTAAGAACGCCTCCGATCTAATCGCGTTCATTTCTAGCTTCTTAATTTCCCCACCTTCTTCATCACGAGCCACCGTCGAGGAAACCGAGCAGAATCCCGTGGTAACGAAACGTCGAAATTAGAACGGAATGTCGCGTGCGAGGAAAGAGGTAGTCCGTGTTGGATAACTCGGTGCGCGAAGGTCGAAGAATGTTTGGCCGCGACTGTGTGACAGTATTTATTCCATTATGCAATCGAACGGAGGGGGTTGGAAAAAAAAAAAAGAGTAGTAGCTCCGGGCGAAGGGTGGCGTGAAGGGAGGAGGGGTGTCGAAACGTTGTCGTTAACGCGCCGAGGTTTCTCTCCCCGTTGTTCAGGGACGGACGGATGGAAGAGCCACCGGGTACGTGGGAACCGCGTCACATGCCTCTCCCTTTTCTCATTCGACTACTACTATTTGTTGTCACAGAGAAATTGCCCGTCCACTTAACTTCCTCCGCCTCTCGGTGGGATCGTGACGCGTAAACATCCACGCCTCTGATTTTTATTCAATATTCAATGGATGGAATCGAATTCCGATAATTCCTCGAGGGGAAAAAAAAAGTGTCTTCTTCTTCTTCTTCTTCTTAATACGATTTAATTTAATTCTCCTCTCCTCTTTTTTACGATTTTATTTCTTGATAAAATTCAGATTTCGAAGAAGAAGGAAACGGAACGGATAATTTGGCAAGAATTAATTAATGCAGAGAGGGACGACGATTTAACGTTTCATCGGGGGAGATTGTCAATTCGATAGAATTTCAATCACTCGATTAGGCGTCAGGTTAAGGGTGGCACGTGGCGGGAACACGTGCGCCCATCTTTGTTGGCCAAGTGGCCACAAAATATCGGGCTAAACAAGCACGCGCGAAACCAGGAAAGCGGAGAGAAATCTTTCCGCACGGAACCGAGGGAAGATATTCGAGTTATTGGTTGGACGCGTGTCACGCGATATAAATTGAGTAGGCGGATGGTCCTCGACAGAGGGATCCAAATACGCAGGTCCGGGCCCTAATTGCAGGATAAACACTCGAGTCTGAGTGAAATATCACGTACAACGATATCGATACTCGAATCTATTTCCCGCTTGTTTCCAGACACGTGTCTACGTGCCTCGTGGATCGCCGCGAACGAGACATCGATTTCTAATTTCGTCGTCCATCCGATGACTGGCCAATTTAGAAGTTTAAAAATACAGGCCGGATTCTTTGCCAATTCAACGTTGTTCGATTTCACGTTCTATCCTAATTCGTTCCTTCTACCTACCTACCTACCTACCTACCTATCTACCTCTTTTCCACAAGTGTCTGTATTTTTTTTTTTTTAAAAATACAGTGGATACGTTACACGAAGCAGGTGAGGAACAGCAGAGAAGGAAGCGAAGGAAAAAGGCATCGGTTGGAAGACGGTAACACGAAGCTTATCCGATTATTCGCTTGTCCAGGATGCGTGTTGGTATTTCGTTACTTACTTATGCTCCTCTCTGCTAGATTACCACGTAAGAACTCGGCTAGATCCGAAGGCCACACGCGTTTCTTCCGTTCGTTCCATCAAAAAAAAAAAAAAAAAAAAGAAAAAAAAGAAAAGAAGAGAAAAGACGTTTGCTTCTCGAGTGCCAGAGAGATACCTCTCGATACCTCCTCGATTTTAATTGACTCGTGCGTCAATTAGATTCTTCCCTTGTGAAACAGGAGGGGGAGAGGAGGGAAAAAAATATCGCACGGAGAGATAAACGATCCTGTACGCGGTTATCTGCTTTACGCAGCGATTTCACGGAGGTCAACGCCGTAACGCAAAGTCGGCCAAATGTTTTCGTAACTGATGGCCTTTTAGAATTCCGTCTCTCATCGGTGGCGGCGGCGGCACGTGCTATCATCCCACGGTCCCCCCTCCGAATAATCCAGACCCCCCCTCCCCCCCTCCCCCCTCTTCTCCATCGCGATCTAGGCCGGGCCCTGTTCGTATTTTAGCTTTTAATTAATTTTCGATTCCCTTCCCTTTCGATCGTGGTGTATTCATTCTTTCCTCTCTCGATATTCGAGTCGACCGGCCACCACTCTCTCCTCCACTTTTCCCACTCGTCGCGAATTTCGCATCTTGTATTCTATGAATACCGAAATAACCGATACCGTACCCGTACCCGTGGGACGAGATTCCGAGGATGATCGTCGACTTCGCCTTCCCCCCCTCAACCGCTCTATCGATTTACGATCCTCGCGTCGAATACGAATTCGAACAGGATTCGATCCTCGTTAATTGCAATAATTCGTTCTATTCGACGCGTAATTCGGTCGTTTTCGTCTAATTGATGTAATTGATGGTAATTCCTCAACTCTTTTCTCGATAAATTCGATAAACTCGTGTCCCTTGTGTCGACTCTCCTTTATTATTTATTATCCGAGTGAAAGTGTGCGTAGGAATGTTGCGGTTGTGCGCGAGCGAGAAGGTTAATCGCGCCACGTTCCCTAGACGCGCCGTATTTCATACTGCGATATATAGTTTTAGATGCGTATCGCGGATCTAAGTAGGGGCCTCGCGTGTAATTCACGAGATTCGATCTCCATCTTTTAACGCGTGTGAAAATGTATACCGCGTTGACGAGAAGGAGAGAGAGAGAGAGAGAGAGAGAGAGAGAGAGAGAGAGAGATTAATTAATTAGTAATT